ACCGCTGTAAGAACCTCAAGTCTTACAAACGATTAAAACTTGGGATAATACGCAGGCATGTAGTCAATTGTCTGCTGCGAAGGTTGAAATTACTGATTATACCTAGAGCAGGTGACAGGATACTTATACTTATGCCATGATACTTATATAATAAACGTTAATGTGCGTACTGTTTTATAGCACATTGTTCTATTATCTTACATCGGTAGTTAAAATTTCTGTATTTAAGCTCCGCCCTACTGAGGCTGAGATAAAGCTCCACACATTCGAGACTGTGGTAGCTGATGTAACGACAGGTCGGTACATTCTACGGCCGCTTCATTAATTGTCTTGTATGTAAATCACCCTTTGATTTGTGTCTGAGCTCTAAGTTACACTCTGTATAATGCTCTACATGATGAGCACTTCGATATTTGATAGTCTTCAAGGTGGAATAAACCAGAAGGCCATATAACAAAAAGTTACAGGAACGGTTTTCAGTAGTACTTTGCTAATTCCAAATTAATTCCCCGCACAGATACTCATAATGCTTTATCAGTCCTGAAGCATATGCATTATAAAATTATGTCCTTTGCTTATTAACAAATTTAGTTAATTTCTTTTCTTATAAAGCTTGACCTTCGCTGAGACACAACAGCCAATCACAATAACGGAGTGGGGGCAACCTTCACTCGAAGCCTCCGTTCGTAGTTTGGCAGTGGCACGACGTGTATGAACCCTGAACCACTTACTGGGCTGTATGACACTCTTACCAATACTTACGAGGTCTGCTCTGTACCACGTGACCGTATCGAACGCGGGGGTTTTCACCCAAGCTTCCCGAAAAGAGGATCTTTCTATAAGATACAGCAGATAATAATTCCATTCACGTTCGCAAGCTGCAAGTGACTTTGCATTGGTACTAGCGCGCCTTGGTACATTAGTAAGAGGCAAGTTCACACAAGGATGCCTTAATTTTCCAAATAGGTTTCCTTCACGCTTCCACATCATAATTCTGTACGCATTATTAATTTCCCTATGTGTCCTGCCCATTTCAGCTATCTTTATTTTATCACCCCAATAATATTTGTTGAAGAATGTAAACTATGCAGCTCCTTATTATGCAGTTTTCTTCAGTCTCCTGTCACTTCCTTTCTCTTAGACCAAGCACCCCGTTCTCAAACACCCATAAAATGTGTCCTTCCCTCAACGTAACGAACCATATTTAATGTCCATGGAGAACAGCAGGCAATGTTATAATTCTTTTATGTTTTAATGTTTACGTTTCTACACAGCAGATTGGAAGACAAAAGATTCTGTGTAGTAGCAAGCATTCTTTGAATCTCTTTAATTTATTCGCGGTTGAATTTTTATTTGTCACTGTCTTTACACATATTTAACGTTGCCACACTTTAAAGTCATTGGCAGAGTGCCAGTATAGAATAACATGTATTTGACAATCAGGACGAACACATAAATAGTTTTACAATACTCTTTAATCTTATACCTTTAACGAAATGATTTGATTTCGAAGAAACGTAAAGCCTACATCGAATACCTCCATAAAGCAGGGTCCTTTTTGAGTGGGTGATGGTCGTTCACATCATATTTTCATAATATTCGTGTTAGTTTTAATATTACTTTCTCATCTACAAATAGTTATCGCAAGAAGTTTCTCCTTTTCAAGTCTTTGGACTAAAGTTTAGTGGGAATGTAGATATAATGTTTGTTACGAAAACGTGATTGCCATTATAACAAACATTACTACTTAAATAACATTATTCTAAGTACTACTTCTCGGACTGGTATCGATCCGCGGCCTTCAGTTTAATAAGCGCTGCAGTTCTCGGTTATCGTGATGAAGAATACAAATTCAAAGGCGGTCGAGTATTCAATTCTTTTTATTTCCTTTATTGATTGCTTAAACTAACATTTACATTTTCCATTAGCTGCTGCATAATACAATACTTAGGATAACCACAACACTTAGCTAATGTATTCAAGTGCTTCACCTCCAACTCCAGTCGTACGGATCAGAGGAATAACACGTGAAAGGAGAGCCCTTGAACTTGGGCTGACTTCTGTTTTGTTCAGTATATAATTCAAGAGCTCCTTCAGCCATGTTCCTTTAGTATTATACTTCCAGAACTGGAAGCCTTGGATCAGGATGTCTGTGTTGAATTCTTTTGCAAAATATTCTATAAGCTGCTGTACCCCCAATTCACCTAGCCTGTCCTTGTCCACAGCCCTCAAGACGTCATTCAGGTCAATAGTTTGCTTATATGTCACTGGCGACCATGTTTCTTCTTCTGTATGTGCCACTATATCAGCCTGTCGCGTTGTCTGAGCATCAAGGGGTCCTCCAAAATCTTCCATATTTATTCCTATGCTGCTGGGAGATATTTTAGAAACAGAATGTTGTATAATTTGACGCAACTGTTGGTTTTGCGTAACCTGGGGGTGGCTGAGGGCATATTTAAGCATCGATTTCAGTAGCTGTCCAGCAGATATGGATAAATCAACTTTATAATTACTTAAAATCTCCTTGATATTTGCTATTGAAAGCCAGTTAGTCAGAATTTCAAATAGTTTCTGCTCCTCCGTATCTGATGGTTGAATGAGATATTTCAAAATGTCGGACAGTTTATCACCAGAAACTACAATTGAAGGCTGCTGCCGTGTTTTAACGTATTGTAAGTACAGGTCAACATAAGTCAAGTCCTTTACTGAGAGAACATTTCTGGAAACCAATGTTTCAAGAATAGACTGCAGATAAGCCTCTTTTGTCGGATAGACGGCAGGGTTATAAGCTCTGTCTTGTAGGAAACAATAAGAAGATGAATTGTGCAAAATTGTTCTGATTTCTTTCAATACGATGCAATATAAAGACTTGTCGATGCACTGGGTCAATATGTCCGTAACATTAGTAGAAAAACGGCCTTGTCTAAGCCCCTCAATAGTCCTTGTGTCCATTTCAGTGGTCAAATATCTTATGTAATGTTTAATAGCCGTTACTTCATCAGTTTGAAGCTGAACTTGTGATAAAATACGCTGAAAAATATACAAAAGAAGTGAGGCCTTATTGGGGTACATTGAAACATTTATGTTCAAATTCAGTATGAACTCTGTGACACTTTTCTTGCTAAACAGATAATGGATTTTGTCTATGGATGGACATCCTTCATATCCTGAGCAGAAAGGCAGGAGTTCTGTCGGGTTTTGAAGGTCTCTTTCGGACGGAGCGTCGAGTATTCCATCGACTGGAAAGAAGGTACTCATTGAAGTTGTTGATGGTGTTCCATGCTGAGGTTCCGCTTGTGTTCCGTGTTGAAGTTGGGGTTCACCTTGAGATTCCGAATCATTTATCGAATCTTGTGGTCGATATTGAGTTTTCGTTGCATTCTGGGGTTCCGTTTGACGTTGAATTTCTGGTTTACGTGGTGAATAATGAGGTTCGGATTCCGGTTGTGTTAAATGTTGAGACTGAGATGGTGGTTGAGGCAGTGTTTGAAGTACAGATTGTTGTGGTTGCGGTGGTTCTTGATGTTGAGGTTGGGATTGGTTTTGACTTTGAGGTTCAGTTTCATGTGGTGAATGTTGATGTTGATGTTCAGGTTGACGAGTTGCATATTGAGGGTCCGTCTTATGTGGTGGAAGTTGAGGTTGTGTTTGGGGTTGGTATTGAGATGGCTGTTGGGGTTCAGATTGTTGTAGATACGGAGGAGGAGGCTGGAACTCAGATTGAGATTGAAGTTGTGACTGGTTTTGACTCTGAAGTTCAATTTCATGTAGTGGATACTGAGGTGGTTGACGTTGAATTTCCTGTCGTGTTGAATTCAGTGGTTGGGATTGAGGTTGAGGTTGTGTTTGATACGGTGGGTGTTGAGGTTGAGATTGTGATTTATTTAGTGGAAGCTGAGTCGGTTGAGACTCAGGTTCTAGTGGTAGTGTATATTGAGGCTGGAGTTGTGACTGATTTTGACTCTGAAGTTCAATTGCATGTAATGTATACTGAGGTGGTTGATGTTGAATTTCCTGTCGTGTTGCATTAAGGGGTTGGGATTGAGGTTGAGGCTGTGTTCGATATGGTGGGTGTTGAGGTTGAGATTGTGATTTATTTAGTGGAAGCTGAGTCGGTTGAGACTCAGGTTCTAGTGGTAGTGTATATTGAGGCTGGAGTTGTGACTGATTTTGACTCTGAAGTTCAATTGCATGTAATGTATACTGAGGTGGTTGATGTTGAATTTCCTGTCGTGTTGCATTAAGGGGTTGGGATTGAGGTTGAGGCTGTGTTTGATACGGTGGGTGTTGAGGTTGAGATTTTGATTTATTTAGTGGAAGCTGAGTCGGTTGAGACTCAGGTTCTAGTGGTAGTGTATATTGAGGCTGGAGTTGTGACTGATTTTGACTCTGAAGTTCAATTGCATGTAATGTATACTGAGGTGGTTGATGTTGAATTTCCTGTCGTGTTGCATTAAGGGGTTGGGATTGAGGTTGAGGCTGTGTTTGATACGGTGGGTGTTGAGGTTGAGATTGTGATTTATTTAGTGGAAGCTGAGTCGGTTGAGACTCAGGTTCTTGTGGTAGTGCATATTGAGGACGGGATTGTGACTGATTTTGACGCTTTGTTAATATTACTTTCTCATCTACAAATAGTTATCGCAAGAAGTTTCTCCTTTTCAAGTCTTTGGACTAAAGTTTAGTGGGAATGTAGATATAATGTTTGTTACGAAAACGTGATTGCCATTATAACAAACATTACTACTTAAATAACATTATTCTAAGTACTACTTCTCGGACTGGTATCGATCCGCGGCCTTCAGTTTAATAAGCGCTGCAGTTCTCGGTTATCGTGATGAAGAATACAAATTCAAAGGCGGTCGAGTATTCAATTCTTTTTATTTCCTTTATTGATTGCTTAAACTAACATTTACATTTTCCATTAGCTGCTGCATAATACAATACTTAGGATAACCACAACACTTAGCTAATGTATTCAAGTGCTTCACCTCCAACTCCAGTCGTACGGATCAGAGGAATAACACGTGAAAGGAGAGCCCTTGAACTTGGGCTGACTTCTGTTTTGTTCAGTATATAATTCAAGAGCTCCTTCAGCCATGTTCCTTTAGTATTATACTTCCAGAACTGGAAGCCTTGGATCAGGATGTCTGTGTTGAATTCTTTTGCAAAATATTCTATAAGCTGCTGTACCCCCAATTCACCTAGCCTGTCCTTGTCCACAGCCCTCAAGACGTCATTCAGGTCAATAGTTTGCTTATATGTCACTGGCGACCATGTTTCTTCTTCTGTATGTGCCACTATATCAGCCTGTCGCGTTGTCTGAGCATCAAGGGGTCCTCCAAAATCTTCCATATTTATTCCTATGCTGCTGGGAGATATTTTAGAAACAGAATGTTGTATAATTTGACGCAACTGTTGGTTTTGCGTAACCTGGGGGTGGCTGAGGGCATATTTAAGCATCGATTTCAGTAGCTGTCCAGCAGATATGGATAAATCAACTTTATAATTACTTAAAATCTCCTTGATATTTGCTATTGAAAGCCAGTTAGTCAGAATTTCAAATAGTTTCTGCTCCTCCGTATCTGATGGTTGAATGAGATATTTCAAAATGTCGGACAGTTTATCACCAGAAACTACAATTGAAGGCTGCTGCCGTGTTTTAACGTATTGTAAGTACAGGTCAACATAAGTCAAGTCCTTTACTGAGAGAACATTTCTGGAAACCAATGTTTCAAGAATAGACTGCAGATAAGCCTCTTTTGTCGGATAGACGGCAGGGTTATAAGCTCTGTCTTGTAGGAAACAATAAGAAGATGAATTGTGCAAAATTGTTCTGATTTCTTTCAATACGATGCAATATAAAGACTTGTCGATGCACTGGGTCAATATGTCCGTAACATTAGTAGAAAAACGGCCTTGTCTAAGCCCCTCAATAGTCCTTGTGTCCATTTCAGTGGTCAAATATCTTATGTAATGTTTAATAGCCGTTACTTCATCAGTTTGAAGCTGAACTTGTGATAAAATACGCTGAAAAATATACAAAAGAAGTGAGGCCTTATTGGGGTACATTGAAACATTTATGTTCAAATTCAGTATGAACTCTGTGACACTTTTCTTGCTAAACAGATAATGGATTTTGTCTATGGATGGACATCCTTCATATCCTGAGCAGAAAGGCAGGAGTTCTGTCGGGTTTTGAAGGTCTCTTTCGGACGGAGCGTCGAGTATTCCATCGACTGGAAAGAAGGTACTCATTGAAGTTGTTGATGGTGTTCCATGCTGAGGTTCCGCTTGTGTTCCGTGTTGAAGTTGGGGTTCACCTTGAGATTCCGAATCATTTATCGAATCTTGTGGTCGATATTGAGTTTTCGTTGCATTCTGGGGTTCCGTTTGACGTTGAATTTCTGGTTTACGTGGTGAATAATGAGGTTCGGATTCCGGTTGTGTTAAATGTTGAGACTGAGATGGTGGTTGAGGCAGTGTTTGAAGTACAGATTGTTGTGGTTGCGGTGGTTCTTGATGTTGAGGTTGGGATTGGTTTTGACTTTGAGGTTCAGTTTCATGTGGTGAATGTTGATGTTGATGTTCAGGTTGACGAGTTGCATATTGAGGGTCCGTCTTATGTGGTGGAAGTTGAGGTTGTGTTTGGGGTTGGTATTGAGATGGCTGTTGGGGTTCAGATTGTTGTAGATACGGAGGAGGAGGCTGGAACTCAGATTGAGATTGAAGTTGTGACTGGTTTTGACTCTGAAGTTCAATTTCATGTAGTGGATACTGAGGTGGTTGACGTTGAATTTCCTGTCGTGTTGAATTCAGTGGTTGGGATTGAGGTTGAGGCTGTGTTTGATACGGTGGGTGTTGAGGTTGAGGTTGTGTTTGATACGGTGGGGGTTGAGGTTGAGATTGTGATTTAATTAGTGGAAGCTGAGTCGATTGAGGCTTAGATTCTTGTGGAAGTACATATTGAGGCTGGGGTTGTGATTGATTTTGACTCTGAAGTTCAATTGCATGTAATGTATACTGAGGTGGTTGATGTTGAATTTCCTGTCGTGTTGCATTAAGGGGTTGGGATTGAGGTTGAGGCTGTGTTTGATACGGTGGGTGTTGAGGTTGAGATTGTGATTTATTTAGTGGAAGCTGAGTCGGTTGAGACTCAGGTTCTTGTGGTAGTGCATATTGAGGCCGGGATTGTGACTGGTTTTGACGCTTTGTGAGTCGGTTGAGACTCAGGTTCTAGTGGTAGTGTATATTGAGGCTGGAGTTGTGACTGATTTTGACTCTGAAGTTCAATTGCATGTAATGTATACTGAGGTGGTTGATGTTGAATTTCCTGTCGTGTTGCATTAAGGGGTTGGGATTGAGGTTGAGGCTGTGTTCGATATGGTGGGTGTTGAGGTTGAGATTGTGATTTATTTAGTGGAAGCTGAGTCGGTTGAGACTCAGGTTCTAGTGGTAGTGTATATTGAGGCTGGAGTTGTGACTGATTTTGACTCTGAAGTTCAATTGCATGTAATGTATACTGAGGTGGTTGATGTTGAATTTCCTGTCGTGTTGCATTAAGGGGTTGGGATTGAGGTTGAGGCTGTGTTTGATACGGTGGGTGTTGAGGTTGAGATTTTGATTTATTTAGTGGAAGCTGAGTCGGTTGAGACTCAGGTTCTAGTGGTAGTGTATATTGAGGCTGGAGTTGTGACTGATTTTGACTCTGAAGTTCAATTGCATGTAATGTATACTGAGGTGGTTGATGTTGAATTTCCTGTCGTGTTGCATTAAGGGGTTGGGATTGAGGTTGAGGCTGTGTTCGATATGGTGGGTGTTGAGGTTGAGATTGTGATTTAATTAGTGGAATCTGAGTCGATTGAGACTCAGGTTCTTGTGGTAGTGCATATTGAGGCAGGGATTGTGACTGATTTTGACGCTGAAGTTCAGTTTCATGTGGTGGATACAGAGGTTGATGTTGAATTCCAGGCTGTGTTGCATTCTGAGGTTCTAATTGATATGGTGGAAGTGGTGATTGAGATTGGTATTGAGCCGATGGTTGAGGTTCAGATTGTCTTGTTGTTTGTTGAGGCTGTTGTAATTTTCCATATTGAGGTTGAGACTTATGTTCTGTTTCCGGTTGTTGTGGATTTTGAGGAAGAGGAGTTTTAGTCTGGGGTTGATAGAATTCATTTTGATGTGGATATTGAGAATGAAATTGGTTTTGAGGTTTGGGTTGATGGGGTGGATAATTTGGTTGAGATTGTAGTTCATTTTCAGACTTATTTTGTGATGGAAATTCGGGTTGATGATTTTGAGGTTCAAGTTGATGTGATGAATACGGAAGTTTTGTAGGTTCCGGCGGGCGTTGAGATTTATATTGTGATTTAGATGGGTCTTGTGGCTGAGGATAGATTGGATGAGAATTTTCAGGTTGGGGAAAGAGGGTGACACGTGTGGGAATTTGTGTCACTTTTGTTGTAACTGCTGTTGTATCAGGAATGGCGTGGATTATGTTCTTAATGATAAAAGTAACCTGCTGCGGTACACCCTGAATGTTGATGACCAGTTGTAGGAAGGCCTTCAAACCGTCGTACACATTGGTGGTGGGTATGCTTGGTAGCTGCTGCGAGATCATTTCCCATATATTGCTATTCAACGCGTACAGTATCGAAGCAAGATTTCGGATCTGTCTTACAGTCCTTGGTTCAAGACCGAGTGGAACGGTTGTCAGAATCAGGTATATATTATATTTGATGGCGTTCTTGTCTGAGGATTTGATAGTATGTATCAGCAACTGCCCTAAAGCGTTATTCATAAAGCTATTTGCGTCTGCTGGGTTATATGATGGAGGAGCCAGTACCCAAGGAAGTGCCCAACTCTGGTCAATACCTCCTGTAAGGTTAGGAATCTGATGAGTGAATATTAAATCTGCAACCTTGGGCTCTTTCAAGTAATTTATCAGATACTGAAGTTGAAAACCAAAATCTGGTTCAACGATAGATATGAAAGATTTGAGTACAATTTCCAGTTGTTCTAGGAGAGACAAACTCATCAGCTGTTCCAACTGTGGCAGGATGAAATCGACGTTGAGTTGTGCCGAAAGTAGTTTGTTATGCAGCGTCTCAACGACAGCTAGCATTTTAGCGTTCGATATTATGGGCGAAGTCTGTAGCAGGAAGCTCAAAACGTTGATTAAGTTGGATTGTAGGATATTCAAAACTGTTAGCCTCTGCACCTGTGTGCTTCCAGAGTCATTGCCAACAATGGTAGGTATAACGGGTCTAACTACAGGTATAACGACTTGTTGTTTTTCACCTCCAGACCCCGTTACTTTCACCAATGCACTTCCAGTATGACTTTGAATTGATTCTGTTCTCAGTGGCATGTAGCCCCACGTGCCGTTTAAGAAACCATTTTCATCCAAATCATCGGTACTTACTATTATTCCTGTGGCATTACCAATAAAATCACTACCTCTTGATCCTGCGTCTCCAATAACCACAGATCTGTTGCTACTGCTGCCCTCTACAGGTATGACTGCACCTCCGATCTGTAGAGACGCTCCAATTTGATAGGGGTGTCTGATCTTACTTATTCCTTTTATGTCAATAACTGCACTAGCGTTAAGGTTCCCCTGGGGAAGGAACCCCAACCCAGAGACAATATCAGTCCAATTTCCAACGCCATAATGCACAACATTTACACCGTCAATGACATTTCCGGTTATGAAGCCTGGCAGGTGGTACAGATTCGAGAACCTGGACGTTGCTCCATTCCATACGTTTTCGACGAATTTCTGCAAAAGAATAAAATGCAATGAAAGACGTTGTTAAACAAATTAAGCTGACCCGGGGTTCTCCATGCCAGGCCGAAGGGGAGACCAGGGCAGAATGGGGCCATGGGGCAGAACGGGGTATCGGCTTTACTTTGTCTGCAATGCGTTGTGATCTATCGGGACCGGGTGAAATACCATCAGCATACAGCACAAGGTCATGTCATATCAGTCAGCGCCATTTTGTGGTTACGGTTTCTGAAATAATCACCCATGCTGGATTTTGCTATTACATTTTAGAAATTTTTCTCAACTTCCAATGAAGGTAAGACCTATTCATTGTTCATATCCACTTTGTTAAGTGATGCATGTTACAATGGGCAGAATGGGGTACCCAGAGAAGAAGATCAAATGATAAGTGTCTGTGATGTGGCGATGTCTATTGAAGGGTGGATCCGGTATACGTTTTGCTTGAAATGGGTCACGGGGTACCCAGAGAAGAAGATCAAATGATAAGTGTCTGTGATGTGGCGATGTCTATTGAAGGGTGGATCCGGTATACGTTTTGCTTGAAATGGGTCACTAACTCATGTGCAGGTGTTGGTAGTCACCATGATGAAGAGGTGCGCATGTGTGCAGTCTGCATTAGGCCTAAGTAGATTTCAAATGTGTAAAGTTTCGTCATTTTACATTGTATACTAAATAATTTTTATATCCTGCGTTATAATTATTAGATAATCTGTGTGTTGCAAATTTTCAAACATTTATCAACCATACCCGTCTTACCCCGGGTACAGGGCAAAATGGGGCAAGTCACATTCTTAAAGAAATTAATATTTAAAAACTGTAACACTTAGGACTAAACTAATAAATCATTATAAATCTCAAATATACAATAAATACACACAGGGTTCCTCCATGTGTTTATCTTTATTATTGTCCCACATGCTTCCAAAGATTAAGTTCCCCGTTCTGCCCTGGGCTCCCCGGTATTGAAGGTGTATGAGAATATTTCGGCCAGAGGAATAGGAAGTATAAGAAGATGCTAGAATGAGGACTTCCATAATTTGTACTCTTTATCAAATTCAATAAGACGATCAGTTAGTGGAGGATTATATGGACGGGACGTGTAGTACGCATGGGAGAGATGACAAATGTACGTAGAATTTTGATAACAAAAGTCTGAAGGAAGACTGGCGTAAATAGGAGGACAATAATAAAATTAAACTTAAATAAATAGGGTGGGAATCTGTTTAGTTTATTGCCACATAATCTTCACACCTGTTACTCTCCTCTCTTTGTAAAAATTCTTAGACTAAATGTTATGAATTAAAGTCGGGTTACATTGCTAACACACAGCAGAAACTTAAAACACAGCTGAGGGGAACTCGGAAATGACGTGAAGCTCAATCACAGATCATCGCAACACTCACTGGTTGCGAACCAGTATCGGATACCGGAATAATAAAATTTGCGTCAACAATATAAAAGGAAATGCAAACAATGATTATTATAAAATTTATAATTGCACCATTTTCTTTTACTAGAGCAGGGCGCTCCTTTCGGAGCTCCTAGGGAGGGTTGGTCAAGTTTGTAAAACGCCACCAACCTTGTGTAAGAAACTAAACTAACCGCCCCGAATTGAGGGTTAAACAATTGAAATCTTAAGTAACACGCTAAACTAACTCCCCTTCGGGGGGTTAGTTTAGTGTCTCATTCAAGTGGTTTAACCCTTGAGTAAGAAGCTAAACTAACCCCCCGAATGGAGGAGTTTAAACACTTGACCAACCCCCTTTGGGGGGGGTTGCGTTTTAAATTCTTGAGTAAGACACTAAACTAACCCCCCTTCGGAAGGGTTAGTTTAGTGTCTCATTCAAGTGTTTTAACCCTCGAGTAAGAAACTAAACAACCCCCGAATAGTGGTTAAAATACTTGACGTCCAACCCCACCCTTTCAAGTCTTCGTTTGTTTTCTTCTGCTGTTCTGTTCTTGTTGAATACGTTTTTCTGTGTTTATCAATGTAAATCTCCCTTCGCTTATCTTTATTTGTTACTTATAGTGATAATGCGACTGGCTTGATATTTTTTGATTTCTTTGTTATGAAGCGTTGATGACGTAATTTTTTGACGACAAATTGCTTGATGACAAATTGGTTGACGACGACGAAATCAGATATTTTTATAGTAAGAAATTCGCATTATTAATTAAATAGTTTAATCTAGAATCTGTTTCAATTTTCCGTTTCTGTAAAAGTTAAAGATAGACAAGTTTATTATATTTGTTTCAATGGTTCTTATATACAAATGGTATGGTTTCGCCGAGAGAATAATTTTCTATCATTTTTATATTACTTAAAACTTATTAATCTTCCTAGGGCTACTTAAGTACCCATAGTTTTCTTCCAACACCTAACCGATGTTCACTACTGGTTAACCGTAACTAAAAATCGAAAAAGCGTTGTTGCATAAACGCATACAGTTTGTGTTACAGAAGAATCATAATCAGATTTAAATCCTTTATTATACATAAGAATGGATGCAGGCTGTGAAATATTTTTTTTTGTGTGTGTCTCAAATTCTCTACAAGGAACGAGGCGGTCTATTTGTTAAAACTCCTGCTTCCTATTGGAGAGTTTCCGGATTCAAAACCTCAGCTCGAAGATAGCATATAACAACTGAATAATTTCGTGGTTTTCCTCTGCCCCTCCAAGCAAATACCGGGATAATTCTTTAAATTAGATCACTCGACGCTACATAGTCAGCTCCTGAAAGCGCCGTTAAACAACTCACAATTCAAATTTCTCCCTTTCTCAGTCTCTGGGACGGCTTCAATGCGACCATAACCGGTGTTTTACAGTGTAGATCAATTTGTTTCTATCAGCTTTTCGTTGCATAGCAAGCGTTTAATTGATAAACCAACCACCCAGCAGATCACAGCAGAGCCACATACTTAGATAAAATTTCCCAATTGGAATATTCACACGTTTGTCACAATTAAATAAATTTCATCATTATTTTTAGTGTCATTTGAAAACTAGGCGGTACAAACAATGAGCAATTTTGCCAGGCCTGAAAAAACTCGTAAAATATAAAAAATTAAAACAAAACTGCCGTAATTAATATTTCAAACTCTAATTCACCCTTTTTCTGTTTTAAAAAATGCCTAGCATAGAACACCCTACGACTAGTGTTCAAAGACGCACATTGCACTAAATCGTTTTAATTCTCAGATGAGAGTGAAATAGAAGACCACGTACCGGTAGGAATGATTGGTAAGGCAAAGCCGTTGAAACCAGGAGACTCGCTGTGGCGAACACTGCAGACAGCAACATCTCGAGATCGACTGGGCGACTCTGGCTATCGGTTTGTTAATAAGACTCATGACGACAAGCACTTTATCGTGGCTGGCACCGAGTGGCATACAGTTTATACCCCATTAACGAGCGCAGAACATTATGTTACTCAACTTGATGAACTTCGCGAAGAGGGGTTTGCTATCTCTAATTCTTGTACAAGTGCCTGTTGAACACCAGAGAACTGTGGCTTTATGTTAACCTAGCTGCGCTGCTCGATTATAACAAGCATTTAAAAATGCAATAAATAAAAATCTATGAAAACAATAAAACAACCCAAGTTGTTGTGAAATTCTCTCCGCACTAGTGCAGAGCCCAGGATACTTAGTAAACATACACATTCGAAAGGCCTGGGTGACCCACAATAAGACGAAAAATCAACTCAAAAATACTTGCATATATAGTAAGAACCTCCCGGTAGAGAACGGGTCCGTAACAAAGAGGGTGCGGCAGAGACTGTCTTACAGACACCGGTTCTGACAGAGTTCGGGTGGGGGGAATTTTTAAAACAATTTCAAATTTCTCAGAAAATCAAAAATGTAGGAAAATCAACATAAAACGCACAAAACTAAAATTTTTTGAAAAATTCCGAATTCAATTTTTTTTTTGGAAAATATCGAAAATGTTTAGTTATCTTCGCTTTTCATGACACTTATAACCATTTTAAAAAATTTTAAAAGTTTTCGAAAAAATCACAAATTTAGCAAAATGTCCAAGAAGCCCACAAAACTATGAATATTTGAAAAATTTCAACTCCTAAATTTTTCCAATTTTTGAAAATTTTTTGGATTGGTGCGCTTTTAAGACAATTTGCAGCATTTTTCGATTTTTAGAAAAATTCAATAATTGGAATATATTTCTTTCTAAATTTGACCTAACCCATCCCAATTAGACGTAGTGTCTGTCGGACCCTGTCTCTGCCACTATCTAATTCACACAGTCTAAGCTGGACTCGGACTGCGCTTCAAACGGTGTCTGCTTAATACGGTGTGTGATTAACCATGTGTCTCCTTGACTCCGTCTCAGATTCACCCGGTCTCCGCGTGACACGGACTGTGAATCACCTGTCCCTGCTCGATAAGGTTTGTGCTACACCCAGTGTCTGCTTGACTCGGTCTCTGCCTCACTCGTTTCCGCCTGATATTTCTTTGATTCACCGAGTATTTGCTTGACTCTGTGTCTCACAATTCTCTGGTTTTGACAAGAGA